ACACACACACACACACACACACACACACACACACACACACACACACACACACACACACACACACACCGTGCTGTGCTTAAACTGCTTAACCACCAGGGAGGGCCAATACACTAATTCTATGAGAATTACAAGTAAATTCAATGGAAAATATCTGCAATGGTTCTACCAACAAAAAAGTTTGTTGAAATCACTACTTCTGGTAAGAAATATCTCTCAAATTAAGAACACAAGAGTATTTTGTTAAGATTTTTTTTTTAATTTATTTATTCATATAGAACTGGGGTACAGGCCAGAGATGCAGAGGGTGAGAGGATTCACCAGAGTCAGAGTGAGGAGCAGAACAGGCAGATTGACAAAGTACACTGCTGAGGGGAGCAGCAGCCGGGTCAAGAGGGGTCTGGGCACCATGTGCTCACCTCTGGGGCAAGTGGGGATCGAACTCATGCAGAAGTGGCTTAAGCTTCTTAGTGCTGTACTTTAACCCAGTGAGTGCCCCACCAGGGAGGGCCTTGTTAAAATTTTTTTAATGACAAATGTTTTGAAAGTAAACAACAACATCAACATATACTTTGTTAAGATTTAAAAGGAAATGAATACTAAAGAAAACAAAAGCAAAACTAAGTAAGTGAAATGGCCTCAAACTAAAAAGCTCTATGCAGCAAAAGAGACTATCAGTAAAGCAAAAAGACAACTTACTGAATGAGAGAAGATATTTGCAAGTGATTAATATCCTATATATATCTCATTAAATAAAAAAGAAGATACTTGCAAATGCTTAATATCCTCACATTTATAAAAATGGCTATAACCAAACACACAAGAAACTAGTGTTCAAGGATGTGGAAAAAGGGAGCCTTCATACATTGCTGGTGGAAATATAAGTTAGTATATAGCCAGTATGTACAAGAGTATGGAGATTACTAAAAATTTAGAGTAGAAATACCATATGACCTAACTAACCCACCTCTGGGTATCTATCCAAAGAATATGAAAACATAAATTCAAAGAGATAATATGTACCACCTGTTAAATGCAAGATTACATGCTAAGTCTATCACTTACAAGGTCATGGTTTTTTATTTGTTTTGATATGCAATAATGCAATAAAGAATTTAACTTTAAATGTCTAACTCAGACATTATACTGATGCTTTACAGGGCAATGATAACTCTACAAGACAGGAAATTTTATTTCCATATGCAAGAAAAGACAACAAACTCAATTAGTTCTTTTCTAAATATGACTCTATTCCATTTCTAACAAATGATCATGCACTTTTCAATATACTGTTTTCCTTTGTTATTTAAAAAAAAAAGTAGTATAGTCATAGTGACAGAAGAGTTATACCTCACTACCTACACAGTCTTCAGGTTTTAAAGACTCTGAACACAGAACATAAGAAAACAGAAAATGGGGTCCTCCCCAGTGGCACAACAGGTTGAAGGGTCAGCACTACAAAACTCTTTGCAGCCACTGCAGCACGAGTTCGATCCTTGGCCAAGGTGCTGACCCACATGGTGTGGCACATGTCTCCTGACTGGCCCACTGCTCTCCTCAGCAGTGTATTTCACTCAGTCTTTCTGATCTGCTCCCCACGCTGCCTCTGGTGAATTCTCTCACCCTCTGCACCTCTAGCCTGTATCCAAGTTCTTTTATGCAGAAATAAGAAAAAAATAAAATAAAGAGAAAGAAAGAAAGAAAGAAAGAAAGAAAGAAAGAAAGAAAGAAAGAAAGAAAGAAAGAAAGAAAGAAAGAAAGAAAGAAAGAA